CTCTAGGTTATCATGTTACAAGTGAGTAGACTATCATGTTATTAGTGACTATGATGTGTTCCAACTGATTCTAGGATACCGTGTTACAAGTGTCTCTAGACTATCATGTTACAAGTGACTCTACACTATCATGTTACAAGTGACTCTACACTATCATGTTACAAGTGACTCTACACTATCATGTTACAAGTGACTCTACACTATCATGTTACAAGTGACTCTACACTATCATGTTACAAGTGACTCTACACTATCATGTTACAAGTGACTCTACACTATCATGTTACAAGTGACTCTACACTATCATGTTACAAGTGACTCTAGACCAGAGGTTCTCAACCAGGGGGGAATTTCCCCCCTCAGGTTTTCAGGGGGGGGGGGAACTGATACTAATATGGAAAAAATAAAGGATTTTCAGTATTATATGCATATTATTTGGAATGCACTTTTTGGGGCAGACAATCTTGGAAAGGAGGGGGGAATGACATTCTGACATATGGTGAAAGGGGTGCATGGGGCAAACAAGGTTGAGAACCACTGGGCTAGACTATCATGTTACAAGTTGCTACGTCTCACTAAGGCTGTAGTGTACTGTAACAACAAGTAATATTGACTGTACTCTGTAGCACGGGTGGAGTGTACTTAATGTACTACAGTGTACAGTACATGTTGGCACTGTGAGATGAACACTTTTCAAGCTTATGTTAGTTTTTAGAAAGTGTAGCTAATGTACTTCAGCCTTGAGTGTGTGTTGATGGTGTTCACTTTGTAGCTTGCAGTTGTACACAGTTTGCTGACAAAAGCTCTGCTGTACACTGTGTTCCCCGACAAGACGGCTACTTCTTGTACTTCTGTATTCAAAGTTCTTAAAATATTAAGAATGTACCAAATGCACCGGAACACACTGTATTGCACATGTGATTTTTTAACTGCAAATATGTACTTGGTGTAATGCAACGTGTTAATACTACCGTGTACATCATCAAGAGTGTTGCTTCATGGCTACAGTGGGTAAGGCGAGTGTTGACAGCAGCAACACAGAGTCACAACACACTGGGGTCTTATTGGTCGTGTCTACACCAAACATAATCACAACACTCGCCGCCATATTAACTTTATAAATAAAACCCTGAACCTCTTTCCTATACGTCACCGTCTACTGCAATTAAGGATTTTTGTTACCCTGGGTTTAATGTTTTTTTCCCTACTACCTGAAGACATATCCCTCGTCACTCACTGGTGCTCACCTGGCGGGCGGATTAGTCATTAGTTCAGGTTCCATCTCGGGGACAACAAGGTAGTTTGTATCTCACCTTCCATTTCCTGAACTACCTCTGGCGGGAGTGTGGGTGAGGGAGTCGCCTCTACGACACAACCATTAGGTACTGTAGGTTGAGAGTCAGAGTCGTTAGTAGTCGAGTTTGCGTCAGGGAGAAAGTCAGAAGGGATCGGGATGCTGTTAGTGTTTGCGTTGTTACTATCACACGGGCACGGACAGTTACACCCGCCTGGCTCACTGGTGTCAACAGCCACTAGAGGGCTGGCGAGGCTTAGGGGAGGGAAGCTGTTGACTCTTGTAGGCTGTTGAATGTTATGTGTACTGTTACCATGAACTGAGAGAGACACAGAGGCAAGCTGCTGTTGGTCGACTGGCTCCACGAAGGTGATGTCCGCCTGTTGGTCTTTCCCAGAGGTGGGCACCGAGACCGAGAAGACATACAGAGGCCTCTTGGATGAGCTCGACCCACCAGACGCTCCAGCTTCGTCCTCTGTGCCTATGGAAATGTTCACAGTTACTCGATTTGAGTGTCGTGAGTGACTGGGGATGGTGCGCCTCACGTCAGCTGATGCGTTTGTATGACTAACACGTACTGAGTGACCCTCCAGGGAGCGGATATCCTTGCCCCGTGTAGAAGGGCTCGCGAAGTGTTTCTCTGACAAGAATATTGGATTAAAATCTTCACCATCTTCAGTGTCTTGTTTCCTGTCCTGTGTGCCAACGTGGTCATTTACTCGAGTCTGATAACCTCCTGAGCTCCAGCCACCTACAGACGCAGCTTCCTTGTTTACGGATGTGGTATCGCTCACAGTCTGGTTTACATTCACTTGGTGTCGATGATCAGTGAGCGAGCCAGACGGTGCATGAGGGGTCGCTGGTGACACTCTTGCAGCAGCCACTGTATCGACCATTGGAGCCTCTGTCGTCTTGGTATAGTGACCGCTGGCTGGGGCCCGAGGTGAGGCTGAATTTTGTTCCGTCTTGTGCATGAGGAATTTGGGAATTTTACTGAATTCACCCCTGAGAGAAGACTGTTGCTGGTTGTTCTCAAGGGCAGCTGCATTGAAATTCCTCGAGTCCGGTGGCGGGTATCGTGTGGGCAAGAATTTCGCCACCTGAAGGGGAACTGAAGCTTTTATGTGGGAGGGTGAAGGACCAGGTCGCAGTGTGGAGGGCACCCTGGTGGTGGTGGGGGTGGGGGGCGGGGATGGTGGTGAAGTCACATCAGCAGTAGTTTTAACCTCCTCGGTAGTCGTAGTCACTCTCTTGCCGTATCTGTCATGTGTTGCGGAATAATCGGGTCCTGTGTCCAAGGAACTGTAAGAACCTTCCCTGGAAGGAAGCGGTACTACCTCTATCTCCACTACCTCCTCCTGGCCATTGGGAAGGGTCCTGACCTGAGGACCCGGCATGGCTATATGGAACTCTTCTCTGGTGAGCGACAACGCCCTCAGCCCCGGCGGGTACTGGGTCTCGCTGATGGGGGCGCTGGTGGTGGGTCTCATCTGTAGCCTGCGTGGCATAGCGTTGAGGGTGACAACACTCTGAGGGTCTCGGTAACCCGCCTTAGCCTCACCCAAGTCATCATCCTCATTGAGGATCACGTCATCTGACTCGTCCTCATCATCCTGATCATCGTAGTCCTGTGGCTCTTTCTGACTGCGTGGGTTCTCTACCGGGAAGTCGTCGAAGTATAAATACTCGGTGTCTTCGTCGTCGTAGTAGTAGTCTTCGTGGTCGTCGTTGAGGTCGTATTCGAAAATATGTGGAAACACATCTTTTGCCATCTTGGAACTTTTTCTATTGTCAGTTTTGGCGCCGTCCTGGAAGTGTGGTACACCCAGGGACTCCAGGATCCTAGACGGGTAGCTATTGGGGCCTGACTGAGGAATAGGACCTCCTTCGGGGTCATTCGGATCATAATATGAACTCGGAGAATCTTGTTTATCTCGAACTGCTGACCGTCTCAACAACCTTCCCTCTGTGTCGTCTGAGGAGTCTAGCAGTTCTGGGTCGCCTTCCATCAGCTTTATGACAGAATCTGTGCTGGACATGTTACCTCGCCCGTACCGGGAGAACCAAGTGTCCAGGGAATAACTCATCTTCCTCCTTGGCTTCAACTTACGAGTCACTGACGAGGAGGTCGTCTCAGTCACAAGTACTTGTGGTGGTCCTGCCGTTGGTCTAAAGTAGCGTGTTGTACCTTGTGCTGAGTCGCTCCTTAACATGTTGTGTCGTCTTGAGTAAGTTCTGCCTTTCTCTGAAGCGTCAGAGTTTACGTCGCGAGCAACGTCCGTCTGCATGGTGGGGAAAGCCGCCATCCACGGCCTCAGAGGTCTACCCCGAGGTTTAGGCTTCTGGCCCCGAGTGTTACCTGGTGGGTCGGGGACTGTGTGAGCCGAGTATACTGATGGATCATCTCCCATCATGATGTCCAGTGAATCAATGTTTGGTAGGGAGGCAGGTAGCCGCTGTAACGTGGTGTTATTACCAGAGTTAGTTACCAGCAGGACGCTGGGGATGGCCTCGTATGCTTGTGGATATTCGGTGTGTGGTGAGGGACGAGCCTCTTGGGGGTCGAACTGCTCGTACTCCACAATATGCGCGCCATCAGTCTCTGGGTCGTCGCCGTACACGTAGTCCACCTCAGGCTCCTCCTCCACACCGTCAGTGCCCGCAGTCACGTCATCATCATCACTATACACAAGGCCGCCATCAACGCTGTCATCCTCAGATCTATCGTAGGCAGCCCCGTCGACACCATCATCATCGACGCCATATTTCTCAGGCAACTCAGTGTCCATCTCGGGATCCGAATATTCAACAACATCAATTACCGGAGCGAAAACATCATCTGCTGGATCTGATTTCCCATGCAAGATTTTATCCTGGCTGTCAGTGGAGGCGTCATCAGCAGACACATGCAGGTCTGCAGACTTTTCAGGAACCTTAAATTGCACAGCACCTTTTATCCCCCCACTGTGACCCACCGGCACCCGCACCTCGGGCACGAACTTAACCTTGGCGAACCTCGAACCTGAGTTTGAGTGATCTTCCTCAGACCTTGAAGATTCTTGCGGTGATATAATGTCACGGTGGGCCGAGGGGCGTGAGGGAGGACGACTCGCTGGGTCATGATGGTGGGCTTCACCACTCACAGCCAGAGGAACAACACTGCCAGTACCTGAAGGGTTACCTGAGCTGGGTACTGAGTCGGTGGTCTGGTGGGGCTGGGGGTGAGGGACACGAGTCGTCAGTGTGTGTGAATGACGGAGATGAGAGCTGTGAGGAGGTGAGGTGGCTGACGGGAGCAAGTCTGGTGTAGAGGAGTCAACGTCAGCGGGGTGTGAGTCAGTAGTGTCCGAGCTGTAGGTGTCAGCTTCTGGGGCGTCAGAAGTGGGTATGTGTAGATGGTGGAGGCCAGGAGAAGGAGGATGAGAGATAGGGAGGATGGAGGAGGGCGAAGGCTCAGAGGTGGAGGCGTCTGAGGCAGGAGGAGGGTCAGGGGAGGGTGAGTCTAGCGGGTGAGTGTCCATGCGGGGAGGTAAGTCATGCGGCACACTTCTACGCATGCGGCGAGGCGGCACTTTAAGCCCTGGGAGCTCTAGCACACCATCCTCCAGGGGCTCATAGATTAGGTAGAGATCCTGAAAGGGGGCTGAGGGAGGCTGGTGAGGGTGGTGTGTGGCGGGCAGCTTGCGGCGGGGGTACTGGTTGTGGGGGTTACCTCTGGATGCCGCCTGGCCATGATGAGCCTCGTCCGAGATGACGGCGGGGTCATCCACCAGCACGGTGCAGCCTCCGTGTGTCGACCACGCCAGGGTGCTCGTCGCTGTAACACAAAAACACATACGTTACACACTGTTGGCACATATAAAAGAAACACATGTTACACATAATATGGTATTAAAGTGCTTTAATTAACAGACATATCATACAGGGTGCTTGTCACTGGAGTACCAAAACACACCTTACACACTATAGCACATAACCATTTAAAGAAAACACTTAGGTTACACATAAGATCTTAGACCACTTGAGATAATAATTAATTCTCATTTACGCACAGGATTCTCGTCGCTGACACACACACACACACGCACACGCACGCACGCACGCACGCACGCACGCACATGACGCCGCCGTGGTAATATGCAGTAAGCGCTCCCTGGCTCACGGTACACCCAGGTCACTACCGGAGTTTTTGACAAATATATTTTTCCCTCAGTTTTTTCCTTCACCTCACCTCACCTCCGTCTTACAGGGTGGGAGGAAAAAAATATTTCTCTCTCTTTCAGTAAATTTATATTCACGTTTGGTCTTGAGGTTTGTGAGAAAATGTGAGTGAAACTAATTAGCTACATCAGGGTGTAGTGTTTTGTGGTAAAGGTGTGGGCTTGGTTAGGTTAGGTTGAGTTTGGTTGGGTGTGGGGTTGGGTTTGGTTAGGTTAGGTTGAGTTAGGTTGGGTGTGGGGTTGTTTATCTTTGGTTTGGTTAAGTTTTGGTTGGGTTTGGTTACATTTAGTTAGGTTAAGTTAGCGCACAAACAATACAACCACACAACGAGAACATGAACACAAGTACTACTAGAATCACCCCACCATCAGCGATACTCCCACCACTACTACCACCATCACCCCGCTCTCCCTGCTACCACAACTACCACTTCTACCACCACCATCACCCCGCTCTCCCTGCCACCACAACTACCACTTCTACCACCACCATCACCCCGCTCTCCCTGCTACCACAACTACCACTTCTACCATCACCATCACCCCGCTCCCCCTGCTACCACACCCCCCCCTCCCTTACCCCCGCTAATCGTGTGTTCGTCATCATACACTAATAATAAGCTATTTATATGCAGGGCCCAGCTATGATGCCTCCCGCTAATGCTACCACCAGACCTCACCATTTTGGAACCGCGCCTCTACCTCCAGGCCCCAAGATCATACCTCCAGGTCCCACGATCAACCTCCAGGCCCCAAGATCAACCTCCAGGCCCCAAGATCAACCTCCAGGCCCCAAGATCAACCTCCAGGCCCCAAGGTCAACATCCAGACCCTAAGGTCAACTTCCAGACACCAAGGTCAAACCTCCAGGCTCAAAGTTGAACCTCCAGGAGTAAGCTCAACTTCCAGGCAAAACCTCAGTCTCCAAGCTGTACCCCAACCTCCAAAACCGCTCCCCAACCACCAAAACCGCACCTCAACCACCAAAATCGCATCTCAACAACCAAAACCGCACCTCAACCACCAAAACCGCACCTCAACCACCAAAACCGCACCTCAACCACCAAAACCGCACCTCAACCACCAAAACCGCACCTCAACAACCAAAACCGCACCTCACCCTCCTACTCACATTATACCGGAGGAAAAGTGTGTCTCCCCACCTCTTTCGTCTTCAACCCAACACACGTAAAACTCTACCTCCAGGTCCCCTCACCCTCGTGTCTCAGGGTAAACAGTACAGAAGAGGGAGAAAAGGGTGGAGGGAGAAAAAAGGGTGGAGGGAGAAAAAAAGGGTGGTGATGGAGGAGGGAGAAAAATGGGTGGTGATGGAGGAGGGAGAAAAAAGGTGGTGATGGAGGAGGGAGAAAAAAGGTGGTGATGGAGGAGGGAGAAAAAAGGGTGGTGATGGAGGAGGGAGAAAAGGCGAGAGAAAAAAAATAATGAAGAAGTAAAACAGAAAACTTATGAAAGAAGGAGTAAAGATAATGAAGGAGAGAGAGAGAGAGAGAGAGAGAGAGAGAGAGAGAGAGAGAGACCCCCTTTGTCTTTGAAGTATCTTTAATAAAATATTCAACACTTCCTCCAACTATTACAATCCCGGATAAACTTTATATTAAACCCAAAAACAGAAACAAACAAACAAACAAACAAACACACTCAACGCAGCAGTTTGGTCCGAGGAAGATAAAACACCTCCTTACACCAGTGGCCAAAGACAGAGGATTTTCGGGGCTCCAGTATAATAAGTGGATCCCATGGGTGGGGGTTCCTTCCACCTCTCCACCATCAAACATGCCTCCAGTTCTGACGTCATCACCCCCCAATGCGAAATTTTACACGAGATAAGAGAATAAATGGAAATACGACGTAGCCAGGTACTTTACGGCGCTTCGTGAGGACACACTTAAAATGTCGACACCTTTACACGACTAATTAAAAACAGTGTGTGTGTGTGTGTGTGTGTGTGTGTGTGTGTGTGTGTGTGTGTGTGTGTGTGTGTCTCACCCCCAGGCGAGGTGCTCTGTGCGACGCCCGGCCCGGATCCCCTCAACACACTCAGACCAAGTCCTCTTTCATCACACCAGACTCGACAAATTTCGTTTTCTTGTCTCACCTAACATCAACCTGGACAAAATTCACACGCGCCTCTCTCAAGTTATATAAGTGATGATGGTGGTACATGCGTCTCTACTGAAGGCCAAACTTTTGCTACTAAAAAAAAAAAAAAAACGTATTCTTCAAAGAAAATCCTCCCTAAAAAACAACTGAACTCTCAAATTATTTTCTTTTTGTTATATAAATATGAACTTTTGAAAACATTATCATTATATAACTTTAGGAGTTTTTTTTATGAAGTAGTGTTGACTGAAGCGATTCTTGACGCCAGATATGACAAGATGTGTACAGTAGACTTGCCGTTAATTAACCTCAAGGTAAACGACAAAATCGCATCACCTTAAGGTGTTATTAATGACGCGGTCTGGTCTGTCACTTAACACATGATAAATCCCTCACTTAACACATGATAAATCCCTCACTTAACACATGATAAATCCCTCACTTAACACATGATAAATCCCTCACTTAACACATGATAAATCCTACACTCAACACATGACAAATCCCTCACTTAACACATGATAAATCCCTCACTTAACACATGATAAATCCCTCACTCAACACATGATAAATCCCTCACTTAACACATGATAAATCCCTCACTTAACACATGATAAATCCCTCACTCAACACATGATAAATCCCTCACTTAACACACGATAAATCCCTATTCGTGTCAGCCCAGTTTGAACCATCGTGAAAAGTAATAAATAATCAGGTGAGTAAGTTAAGCTATTGAGTCATGGACGGATGGGTGAAGTTCCCTCTAACTGAGTTGAGATATTGGGTGATAAGAGCAGTCGACGTGATGTCTTACCTACCGTTGTGTTGTGTTGCTGTGTTGTGTTGTGTTGTTGAGCTGTATTAAGTGGTGGTGAGTGTGTTGTGTGAGTGTGTTGTGTGGCTGTGGTGTGTGAGTGTGTTATGTTGATGAGTGTCTGTGGCTATGTTGTGTAGCTAACCAAACCAAACCAAACCAAACCTAACTTAACCAAACCTGAACACACTACGCCATTATTTCTCGATATTCACACACACACACACACACACACACACACACACACACACACACACACACACACACACACACACACACACACACACACACACACACACACACACACACACACACACACACACACACACACACACACACACACACACACACACACACACACACACACACACACACACACACACACACACACACACACACACACACACACACACACACACACACACACACACACACACACACACACACACACACACACACACACACACACACACACACACACACACACACACACACACACACACACACACACCCTATAAAGTTATTTCTAGCCATAACCAAAATCTGCTTCCTTATGCATAAATTCGCATCACCTTAATATTAGACACCACAGATTATTTCACCTGATGATTAAACACCCTAATGCTACCTGGAAGGGTGGCTGGTTGGGGGGGGGGGTAAGGCTAGGTTTGATTGACCTCTTAAACCGGCCTTTTTACCACTAAACCGGACACTTTTCCCTTTAAACCGGTCTTTCTACCACTAAATCGGACACCTTTCCCCTTAAACCGGACTTTCTACCACTAAACCGGACACTTTTCCCCTTAAACCGGACTTTCTACCACTAAGCCGGACACTTTTCCCCTTAAACCGGACTTTCTACCCCTAAACCGGACACTTTTCCCCTTAAACCGGACTTTCTACCCCTAAACCGGATTTTCTCCCCTCAAAACCGGACTATTTACCTTTAGAAACGGTATTTTTACACCTAAATCAGACTATTTACCCCCAAAACCGGACACATTACCCCCAAACCGGACACATTACCCCACAAAACCGGACACATTACCCCACAAAACCGGACACATTACCCCACAAAACCGGACTCTAAACTTACACAGTGGCACCTTGGCACAAATTGCACATCTCTGAGATCAAGAAAAGTATGAACAAAATCCTTCCTCTTCCACCAGTTTTGTTGGTGAGCCTGTGGATGGTGTAAGACTTGGCCCTGGGCTAATAACATTAATGTGGGTGGAATGTGGAGTGTGGATGTGGAGTGTGGGTGGAATGTGGAGTGTGGCTGTGGAGTGTGGGTGGAATGTGGACTGTGGATGTGGAGTGTGGGTGGAATGTGGAGTGTGGGGGAGAATGTGGAGTGTGGGGGAAATGTGATGTGGGGGGAATGTGGTGCGTGGATGTAGAGTTGAATGTGAAGTGTGGGTGGAGTTGTGGGTGGAATGTGGAGTGTGGGTGGAATGTGGGTGTGGTGGAGGTGGATTGTGGGGGGAATGTGGAGTGTGGCTGGAATGTGGAGTGTGGGTGGAGTTGTGGAATATAGATTGTGGG